AGATGTGCACCTGGAGCTGGAGAGCCGTCTGGCCAACTTCATGAAGACAGAGGAGGCCATCATCTACTCCTATGGCTTTGCCACCATCGCCAGTGCCATCCCCGCCTACTCCAAGAGGGGGGACATCATCTTTGTGTGAGTGCTGTGGGCTGAGGGGCAGCACGGGGGGCCCCACAGAGCCCCCCCCCCTCATGAGCGTCCTCATGTGTGTCCAGGGACGAGGCGGCCTGCTTCTCGGTGCAGAAGGGCCTGCAGGCCTCCCGCAGCTTCATCAAGTACTTCAAGCACAACGACATGGAGGACCTGGAGAGGCTGCTGAAGGAGCAGGAGCTGGAGGACCAGAAGGTGAGTCCGGCTGCGTCCGGGGGGGCTGGGTGTGTTCCCTGATGCCCCCCCTGATGCCCCGACATGCTTTGGGCCTGTTGCAGAACCCCCGTAAAGCCCGGGTCACTCGGAAGTTCATCGTGGTGGAGGGGCTGTACATCAACACCGCAGACGTCTGCCCCCTCCCGGAGCTGGTGAGTCCCCAGCTCCTCCTGAGGGTCAGCCCAGGGACTGGAACCACTCCTGTTGGTCTGCCTGCCTCAAGTACCGTATTTCCCCTAAATAAGGCGCACCGCCTTATGAGGCTGATAGAGCAGAAGCTCCAGTAGAGGCTGGGGCTGCGTTAGCATCCAGAAGCAGCTACGCTAAAGGGAAGCTCAGCTAACAGTCAGATAATCAGTCAGACTTTATTAACAAACACAAACCAGCCTTCTGACGACTCTGTTCACTCCCACAATGAACAAACAGCTGTTTAGTATTGTTCCAGCTAATGTCAGTGAGCTAGTGTTTTAGGGACACAGTTTATCTGTAACTACAACAATGTTTAATAGGTAGAGCAGCATTTTTATCAGTAGTGGAGGGAACTTTTCCTCCATTCAGTAAATAACAGAAACAGTCTGATACGTTAGGGTAAATCAGACGTTAGCATCACAACATATAGCAGCTAGCATAAAGCTGACCAGCTTTTCTTTAGAACTATTTGAACTATCTGTTGTCGTAGTTAGGATCCGATTCAACGTTTCCCTTTAATGTCCACATTTTTTAACGGCCTCCTTCTCTCACTGCGTCCACTTTTAAAATGGGGACTAACAGATATGGACATGGTGCAGTACTGAGGATCCCCAGAAGGGGGCGCCTACTTCTTCTATGGATAAAAGCCGGCTGCTTCCTAAGACCTGTTGGGGCTCCATCCTGATCAATATATAAGGCGGTTTTTAAAAATATTGAAGGCTTTTAGGTGCCTTATAGAGCAGAAAATGGGGAGCATGTTACTGTAAGCGGCAGGTCAGGGTTAGGGTCAGGGTTAGGATCAGGGTTAGGGTCAGGGTTAGGGTTAGGGTTAGGTCATCCAGCCCAGCTGCCTCCTCCCCCTCTGCCTCTGTCCCATGGGAATGCTTGTCATCTGCAGGTGAAACTCAAGTACAAGTACAAGGTGCGGATCTTCCTGGAGGAGAGCATGTCGTTTGGAGTGTTGGGAGAACACGGCAAAGGAGTGACGGAGCACTTTGGGGTCAACGTGAGTACATGAGACTCATTCAGATAAACCACCCTGAGACCTTTTCTGTCCGCTGCTCCACTTCCTGCAGAGTCACCCAGGAAAAGGTTTGAAGCCTTCCCAAATAATGCATCTTTACCTTTAAAGCCGGGCAGACACTGTGCGATTGCTGTTTTTTTTTTAATTTACTGATGCATAAGTATGAAAATGAAAGGCATAAAAATAAGAGAAAGAAGAATAAGGATGGATACTAGAGCTATACAAAGGATGGATGGATCGGAGGGACATATCTGATCCATCTTTTCATCGACAGATCCCTTTTTAAAACAAAAGTAATTCTTTCCCTCTTAAAGATATTATAAACTCAATCCAAACCATTGGTCCACTGTAGGTCTTTCTAGTTTTAGCCACTTCCTTGTTCCACCTTTTCTTAGTGTCTGAAATAGGTATTTGTGATCAGAGGACACATTTAGTGAGGTAGACGGCTCCTTTAGTGAGTCTGTGTGGAGTGACGGGTCCTGCCTCCCACAGATAGACGACATCGACCTGATCAGTGCCAACATGGAGAACGCCGTGGCGTCCATCGGAGGCTTCTGCTGCGGCCGCTCCTTCGTCATCGACCACCAGGTGAGAGCCACAGGTGGACCACCAGGTGAGAGCCACAGGTGGACCACCAGGTGAGAGCCACAGGTGGACCACCAGGTGAGAGCCACAGGTGGAGCGGCAGGTGGAGCCACAGGTGGAGCCGGTCAGCCATCCTCTGGGCTGCTGCTGGCTGTGGCTGAGTGGTTACCTTGCTGCTTACCTGGCTGCTTACCTAGCTTATTACCTAGCTGGTTACCTGAGTT